CCTCCCATACTTCCCTTTGATCCTTCCTTCCCTCCTTCCTCCTCTCTCTCCTTCTTTCTCCTTCCTTCTTTCCCTCATTCCTCCTTCTCTCCCTTTCTCCTTCCATCCTTCCTTTTGTCCGTCTTCCTTTCCTTCTCTTTCCTCCTCCCTTCCTTCCCTCCCTTTGGTCCTTTCTTCCTTCTTTCCTCCCTCCTTCCCTCTCTCCCTCTTTCTTCTTCCTTCCTTCCGTCTTTCCTTCCTTCTCTTTTTCCTCCCTCCTTCCCTCTTTCTCTTTCCTTCCTTCCATCATTCCCTCCTTCCCTCTTTCCCTTTTTTTCCTCCCTCCCTCCCTCCCTCCCTCCCTTCCTTCTTCCTTCCTTCTTCCTCTCCCTTCCCTTTTCTTTCCTTCCTTCCCTCTCTCCCTCTTTCTCCTTCCTTCCCTCCCTCCTCCTTCCTTCCTTCCTCCTTTTCCCTTCCCCTCTTTCTCCTTCCTTCCTTCCTCTTCTTCCTCCTTCCCTCCCTCCCTCCTTCCCTCTCCCTCTATGGCAGTTGTCTAGTTTCTAACAGGTCTCACAACCTCTGAGGATGCCTGCCAAAGATGTGGGTGAAACGTCAGGAGAGAATGCTTCTGGGACATGGCCAGACAGCCCAGAAAACTCTTAGATGTATTGTCGAAGGCTTTCATGGCCGGAATCACTGGGTTGTTGTAGGTTTTTTCGGGCTATATGGCCATGGTCTAGAGGCATTCTCTCCTGACGTTTCGCCTGCATCTATGGCAAGCATCCTCAGAGGTAGTGAGGTCTAACAGGCCTCACAACCTCTGGGCATGCCTGCCAAAGATGCAGGCGAAACGTCAGGAGAGAATGCTTCTAGACCATGCCATATAGCCTGAAAAAACCTACAACAACTCAACTCTTAGATGAATCCTTCCCTATTCATCAAACATTATCCAAAGTTTTAAAAATGACACACACTGAATAGAGGATTTGGACCGCTTTTATTAAAGCTTGTAAAGTAGGTGAGGGGCAGGGGAAGAGTGGAAAAATAAGATTTACACAAACACACACGTTTTTGCATTTGACACAATACGAAAACGAAGCAGCTGCATCTATCCAGTGTTCACATCGACCAGCCCAACATGAGACGTCCCCAAATCGCCAACATTGTACTGTGGGTACGAGCAGTTTGCTCAGTGTTGAATGGTGCAGCAGCACAAACACTCACGAAAAGGAGCGAGTCTTTCGTTGTAGGGTGTGAGACAACAACACGCATCTTCCACAGTCTGTAAGGAGTTACAGGCATGTGCTTTAGGGTCAAGGCGGGGCAGGAAGGGCTTTTCTCAGACCTAAAATAAGCCACAAATGTACATAGTAGGGAAGTATTGGCTTTAGCTTATGAGGAAACATCATTGCATAGTATCCCAACCAGCCCAGAAGCGGTGAGTGGGGAGATCGAGTTTGGAACGTCGGCGGACCATTTCCGCCTTTGTGGAATGGGGTTGGTCCAATGGGAACGGGGAAAGGAAATGAGAAGAAGCAAAAATCCCTCACTTATCTCGAGATTTCAGGGCCAAGAGGCTCTCAATTTCTATGGGAACCCTTTGTCGTTGGGTGGGTGACTCGTAACCCATGTGGAGACTCTGTACCTGAAGTGCCTACAGATTCAGGAGGGGGAGATGCCTTCAAGATCATGTTCCCGGCTCAGAAAGGAAACATTCAACATCAATTTAATATTGCATTTGGAATCAGTAAAAATGGAGACGCGCTACCTAGCTTGAAAGGAAAGGGAGGGAGAGAGGAAGAAAAAGACAACCGAGAGCAAATCCAAATATCACGCCGTTATCTTGACTGTGTCCTTTATCCTCTTTAGATGGGAAGGGATGAGCTTTTGTGTGAGAAAGAAGAATGAAATTTGCACAAGAAGACTCTTTTGGAAACCCTGATTTTGAATCTATGAGGGTTATCTGGAAAGTAAGGTTACAAGGCACGTAGCTCTCATGGGAGAAGTTGGTATCACTGCTGTGTAGCAGGAAGCCAGTGGAAGCGAATGAGCAGTGCCAGTCGTCAGTAGCTCATCCACTGGCATGGAGGTGATGGTTAGAGATGAGAATCCTCATTCTGTTTCCCTCCAAGTGCAAAGATTGCGCTGTACGAGGGATATCCGGAAAGTAAGGTTACAAGGCACATAACTCTTGCAGGGAATTTTTGCAGGGGAAGTTGGTATCACTGCTGTGTAGTGGGAAACCAGCAGAAGCGAACGAGCACTGCCAGTCGTCAGTAGCTCATCAACTGGCATTGTGGTGAAGGTTAGAGATGACCGTCCTCATTCCGTTTCCCTCCAAGTGCGAAGTTCTCACTGTACGGGGGATATCTGGAAAGTAAGGTTACAAGGCATGTAGCTCTCACAGGGAATTTTCACAGGGGAAGTGAGTATCACTGCCATTTAGTGGGAAACCAATGGAAACGAACGAGCACCGGGATTGTGGTGCAGCTGGATGAGTGTCAGCTGCATTAAAATCACTCGGACCAAAAGTTCTTGAGTTCGAAGCCGGCCCAGGTTGGAGTGGGTTTCCAACCAATTGTGTGTAGCCTGTTGTCGACCTTTGCAACCCGAAAGACAGTTGCATCTGTCAAGTAGGAAAATTAGGTACCACCTTAAAAGTGTGGGGAGGCTAAATAAACTGATTTATGAGGCCATAAAGAAGACTCCAGCAAAGCATTCCAGCGGGGAAGCATGCGGGGAATGCGGAAGTGCTTCATCAGCGTCGCAGATGGACGAGGAAAGCAACAGCTCCCCTGTATGTCTGTATATGTTTGTATGTCAAAAATTGGCAATGAATGTTTGCCATATATGTGTACATTGTAATCTGCCCTGAGTCCCTTGCGGGGTGAGAAGGGCGGAATATAAAAGCTGTAAATAAATAAATAGTTGTCAATAGTTCATCTGTAACCTTCACCACAATGCCAGTTGATGAGCCAGGTGATAGCACTGCTCATTCGCTTCCGCTAGCTCCCTGCTACCAACTTCCCTTGCAAAAATTCCCTGTGAGAGCTACATGCCTTGTAACCTTACTTTCCAGATATCCCTCATACAGTGCAAACTTTGCACTTGGAGGGAAACGGAATGAGGATACTCATCTCTAACCTTCACTACAATGCCAGTTGATGAGCTACTGACGACTGGCACTGCTTGTTCGCTTCCGCTGGCTTCCCGCTACACAGCAGTGATACCAACTTCCCCTGCGAAAATTCCCTGTGAGAGCTACATGCCTTGTAACCTTACTTTCCGGATATCCCTCGTACAGTGCAACCTCGCACTTGAAGAGAAACGGAATGAGGATGCTCATCTCTAACCTTCACCACAATGTCAGTTGATGAGCTACTGACGACTGGCACTGATCGTTCGCTTCCACTGGCTTCCTGCTACACAGCAGTGATACCAAGTTCCCCCACAGAAATTCCCTGCAAAAGCTATGTGCCTTGTAACCTTACTTTCCGGATATCCCTCGTACAGTACAAACTTCACACTTGAAGGGAAACAGAATGAGGACACTCCTCTCTAACCTTCACCACAATGCCAGTTGATGAGCTACTAACGACTGGCACTGATTGTTCGCTTCCGTTGGTTTCCCGCTACACGGCAGTGATACCAACTTCCCCTGTGAAAATTCCCTGCGAGAGCTATGTGCCTTGTAACCTTACTTTCCGGATATCCCCCATGCAGTGTGAACTTCTCACTTGAAGGGAAATGGAATGAGGATGCTCATCTTTAACCTTCACCACAATGCCAGCTGATGAGCTAGACGACTGGCACTGCTTGGGATACTAACTTCCCCTGCGATACCAATTTCCCCTGTGAAAATACGCTACGAGAGCTATGTGCATTGTCATAGAATCACAGATTTTGAAGAGACCTCATCGTCCATCCAGTCCAACACCATTCTGCCAGAATGCAGGAAAATTGCATTCAAAGCATCCCTAACAGATGGCCACCATACTTAAAAGTCTCCAAAGAAGGAGCCTCCACCGCACTCTGGGACAGAGAGAGAGTTCCACTGCTGAATAGCTCTCAGTTAGGAAGTTTTCCCTCATGTTTTTTCATTTTTTCTGCCTAAGTAGAGCATCTTGCATTTGTCCCTGTTGAACTTCATTTTGTTAGTTTTGCTTACTCTATTGTATATGTATGTTTTGGTATGCAGCTTTCCCTTTACTCTATATTTCTTGAGGTTGTGGGAGGGGCTGCTGGCCACATGATCAGATCTGGGACTGCTCAGAGCACAGACTCCATTTTAGAACACAGACGCCATGCACCGATCACGCCTGCTCTCCCCTCCCTGCTTGTTGGCATGAGCCCTCCCCAGCCTCGCAGGTTCTCCCTCGCCTGTACCTGCGCATCATGCTGCCATGCGCCAAGCATGCCTGCTCTCTCCTCCCCGCTTGTTGGTGTGAGCCTCTCTCAGCCTCACACATTCTCCCTCGCCCATACATACTGCCATGCACCAAGCACACCTGCTCTCCCCTCTCCGCTTGTTGGCGTGAGCCTCTCTCAGCCTCACACTCTCCCTCGCACATACAAGCCCATCATACTGCCATGTGCTAAGCACACCTGATCTCCCCTCCCTGCTTGTTAGTGTGAGCTTCTCCCAGCCTCACACATTCTCCTTTGACCGTACATGCCCACCATGCTGCCATGCGCCAAGCACACCTGCTCTCCCCTCCGCGCTTGTTGGCGTGAGCCTCTCTCAGCCTCGCACTCTCCCTCACCCATACATGCCCATCATACTGCCATGTGCCAAACACCTGCTCTCCCCTCCCGCTTGTTGGCGTGGGCCTCTCTCAGCCTCACACACTCTCCCTTACCTGTATGCCCACCATGCTACCATGCGCCAAGCACACCTGCTCTCCCCTCTCTGCTTGTTGGCATGAGCCTCTCTCAGCCTCACACACCCCTTGCCCACACATGCGCACAACGCATATGCCAAGCACGCCTGCTCTCCCCCCCCTGCTTGGCATGAGCCCTCCCCAGCCTCGCAGGTTCTCCCTCGCCTGTACCTGCGCATCACCCTGCCATGCCCCAAGCATGCCTGCTCTCTCCTCCCCGCTTATTGGTGTGATCGTCTCTCACCCTTGCACTCTCCCTCCCCCATACATGCCCATCATACTGCCATGTGCCAAGCACATCTGCTCTCCCCTCCTCGCTTGTTGGCGTGGGCCTCTCTCAGCCTCACACACTCTACCTTACTCATAAATGCCCACCATGGTGCCATGTGCCAAGCACACCTGCTCTCCCCTCTCTGCTTGTTGGCGTGAGCCTCTCTCAGCCTCGCACGCTCTCCCTTGCCCTCACATGCGCACCACACTGCCATGCACAAAGCATGCCTGCTCTCCCCTCCCAGCTTGTTGGCATGAGCCTCTCTCCAGCCTTGCATGCTCTCCCTCGCCTGCACATACACACCATGCTGGCATGCACCAAGCACGCTTGCTCTCCCCTTCCTTCTTGTTGGCATGAGATCCTCTCCAGCCTCGCACTCTCCCTCACCTGGACATATGAACCACACTGCCATGTGCCAAGCACGCCTGCTCTCCCCTCCCTGCTTGGAGTCTCAGAAACAGCCCTCCCCTTGGCTGAGGGGCCGGTGTTTGGTGGATTCACTGTCTGTTTCCAAAAAAGGAAGAGGACAGGCGGAGAGATCATCAGCCTTCTCTGCCAAAGGGGTTCCAAAGACCATCTGAAACCCCCTTGCGACGCCCCCAAGGTTGGGAAATGCTGGGCTGGGGGTTCGTACCATCTCTAGGAAGAACCCCTATGTAAAATATCTGTGCTTGGAGGGGCCGAAAGCTTTCCGCCAGGGACAAAGAAAACATGGCACTTTTGTGTTAACCTCAAGGGCCGGCGTGGAATGGACGCCCGCCTCTTTGCGTGGGTCAGTTCTGCAGCTCCCTGGCAGCAACGTGGACTCGGTTCCAATAATCAGAGCCAACGAGGGTGATGCTGAAGAGCGTGCTGCACCCCAAAGGGGGGAAAAAGAAACAGACCCCGCAGCCTGTTGCCCGAGAGGATTGAGCAAAACGTTCTCTTTCCTAAAGCTAAGCTCCGCGTTCACATTTCTTGGTTCTGTGCGAAGCCTCCGGGCCCACCAGACGGCTTCTTCTGCCCTTTCGTGGCTCTCTGCTGGAGATGGAGGTCACTATTTACAAATCCTTGGGCGCCACGTAGTCGTTTACACATTGCTGACTCTGGTCTCCGCGGAAAGGGTTGTGCTGGTGCTGGAGGTCATGAGCGATCGCTCCCTTCGGACGTAGCGGGGTTTCCGGACTGCAAGGAGAAGAGACCTGCTTTTGAGAAAAGCACTGGAAACAAAGGTTTTCGCCATACATTGCAAAGACGTACCTGCTGGGACTACAACTCCCAGAATCCCCACAGTCTCCCCCAAAGAGTAGCCTATGCCTTGTTCTGCAAGAACTAAAATATGGTCCGCGGCCTCACTGTTACTACACCGTTGCAACAAGAGTGGCTGGTCCCTCAAAACCTTCTTATAGTGCCAAGGCTTATTAAATATGGTTTTCTGTTGACAAGCAGATGGTGACTACTGGGTGGCGTGTGTTCTGTATCAAAAACTAGAGCTGATGTGGTCTACCCAATGGATTTTTTTGAATTCCATTGGGTGGACCATAAAATTCATAAAATTGCATTGGATAGACCACATATGTTCTCTATCAAAAACTAGAGCTAATTGGATGAGACTCTGGTTTTCGAAGTCACAACATGGCTTTTGGAGCAACCTGTTGACTTCTCCAAGTGAAGCGTTTACCAAATATGGGAGAAGTGTGTGTCCCGAGGTGGCACCGATAGAGAGAATGACACAGAACTGGGCCAAGTTTCATTGCTCTCCGTCCACTGGAAGTGGGTCAGGGGAAAGCTTGAATGAATGCACTTTGTAAAGCTGACCAAAAACTGATTTGTTACCCTTTTGTTACTAATGTTGGAGCGTGCACCCTGTTCAAAGTGGTTCCTGGTCAAAATGGTCCCTTGTCGAAGTTGTCCCTGGTCAAGGTGGTCACTGGTGAAAGTGGATCCTGGTCAAAGTGCTCCCTGGTCAAAGTGGTCCCTGGTCACTGGTGAAAGTGGTCCCTGGTCATTGGTGAAAGTGGTCCCTGGTCAAAGTGGTCCCTGGTCACTGGTGAAAGTGGACCCTGGTGAAAGTGGACCCTGGTCAAGGTGAACCCTGGTCAAAGTGGTCCCTGGTCACTGGTGAAAGTGGACCCTGGTGAAAGTGGACCCTGGTCAAGGTAAACCCTGGTCAAGGTGGACCCTGGTCAAAGTGGTCCCTGGTCACTGGTGAAAGTGGACCCTGGTGAAAGTGGACCCTGGTCAAGGTAAACCCTGCTCAAAGTGGTCCCTGGTCAAGGTGGACCCTGGTCAAGGTGGACCCTGCTCAAAGTGGTCCCTGGTCAATGGTGAAAGTGGACCCTGGTGAAAGTGGGCCCTGGTCAAGGTGGACCCTGGTCAAGGTGGACCCTGGTCAAAGTGGTCCCTGGTCACTGGTGAAAGTGGACCCTGGTGAAAGTGGACCCTGGTCAAGGTAAACCCTGGTCAAAGTGGTCCCTGGTCAAGGTGGACCCTGCTCAAAGTGGTCCCTGCTCAAAGTGGACCCTGGTCATTGGTGAAAGTGGACCCTGGTGAAAGTGGGCCCTGGTCAAGGTGGACCCTGGTCAAAGTGGTCCCTGGTCACTGGTGAAAGTGGACCCTGGTCAAAGTGGACCCTGGTCAAGGTAAACCCTGGTCAAAGTGGTCCCTGGTCAAGGTGGACCCTGGTCAAGGTGGACCCTGCTCAAAGTGGTCCCTGGTCAAAGTGGACCCTGGTGAAAGTGGGCCCTGGTCAAGGTGGACCCTGGTCAAGGTGGACCCTGGTCAAGGTGGTCCCTGGTCAAAGTGGACCCTGGTCAAAGTTGTCCCTAGTCAAAATACTACATCATCATCATCAAGAGACCACACTTAGTGGGTGAAGAACCTCAGACTTTGCTGGGAAAAAAAATACTTTAAGGAATAGGATCCTGAAGTTACTAATAGCTAATCTCTATGTTTAAAGAAGAATTTATGGTGCCATCGTTCCAGCGGAGAGGCCCATTTTTAATTCAGCAAGCCCATCTCTGGGCCACTTGGGAATCTCTAGAGACGGCCAGAGCCACGAACATTCGACACAGAGCCCGGCAGAGTCATCTTCCTTTTCCGGCAACTATAAAGATCCCTTACAACCTCAAAATCCATCTATTTTAAAGCATGTGAGTGTTTAACAAGCCAACTTGATGTTTATGGCCAGAGACAGGCCTGATTGGTATTGTCAATTCTGTAGGTTCCAGGGTTTGGGGGATATCATTCAGAGAGTAATTTGGGGGATTTTTTTTAACGACGGGAAAGATGATCAAGATGTCAAGAAAGACGACAAGAAGATGACGGAACTGGGTATGTATATTTTCTATTTTTTTTTTTAACACACACACTCTTCGATAACAGGATAATAAAGCTTAGTGTAAAAATACCCCCAAAACAAGATTCTTACCTGAAGAAGGAGGTGATAACATGGATGCCTGTAAAGACAGAGAGGAGATTAGGATGTCTCCAAGTAGCACGAGAGGAAGGAGCTTCAAGCCAAGGAAAAATCAATAGGAATTCATATTCTCAGTGCAACTGGGAACCAATTCGAAATACAAATGGAAAAGCACTCTCTCGCACCAGAAAGACTGCTGACCGAAAGGCCGGCGGTTCAAATCCTCAGAGCGGGGTGAGCTCCCGTCTGTCAGTCCCAGCTTCCCATCCGGGGACATGAGAGAAGCCTCCCACAGGATTGTAAAATATCCAGGCGTTCCGTGGGCAACGTCCTTGCAGATGGCCAATTCTCTCACACCAGAAGGACTGCTGACCGAAAGGTTGGCGGTTCGAATCCTGGGAGTGGGCTGAGCTTCCAACTGTCAGCCCCAACTTCCCATGCGGGGACATGAGAGAAGCCTCCCACAGGATGGTAAAATATTCAGGCGTCCCCTGGGCAACGTCCTTGCGGACAGCCAATTCTCTCACATCAGAAGGACTGCTGACCGAAAGGTCGGCGGTTCGAATCCTGGGAGCAGGCTGAGCTTCCGTCTGGAAGCTCCAGCTTCCCATGCGGGGACATGAGAGAAGCCTCCCACAGGATGTAAAATATCCAGGCGTTCCGTGGGCAACATCCTTGCGGACAGTCAATTCTCTCACACCAGAAGGACTACTGACCGAAAGGTTAGCGGTTCGAATCCTGGGAGTGGGCTGAACTTCCATCTGTCAGCCCCAACTTCCCATGCGGGGACATGAGAGAAGCCTCCCAAAGGATTGTAAAATATCTAGGCGTCCTGTGGGCAAGGTCCTTGCAGACAGCCAATTCTCTCACACCAGGACTGCCAACCGAAAGGTCAGTGGTTTGAATCCAGGGAGTGGGGTGAGCTTCCATCTGTCAGCTCCAGTTTCCCATTCAGGGATGAGAGAAAAGCCTCCCACAGGATGGTAAAATATTCGGGCGTCCCCTGGGCAACGTCCTTGCGGACAGCCAATTCTCTCACATCAGAAGGACTGCTGACCGAAATGTTGGTTGTTCAAATCCCGGGAGTGGGCTGAGCTTTGGTCTATAAGCTCGTTTCCCATGCGGGGACATAAAAGAAGCCTCTCACAGGATGGTAACACATCTGGGCGTTCCCTGGGCAGCGTCCTTGCAGATGGCCAATTCTCTCACACCAGAAGGACTGCTGACCGAAAGGTCGGCGGTTCGAATCCTCAGAGTGGGGTGAGCTCCCATCTGTCAGCCCCAACTTCCCATGCAGGGATGTGAGAAAAGCCTCCCACAGGATGGTAAAATATCCAAGCGTCCCCTGGGGAACGTCCTTGTGGACAGACAATTCTCTCACACTAGAAGGACTGCTGACCAAAAGGTTAGCAGTTTGAATCCGAGGAGCGGGGTGAGCTCCCGTCTGTGAGCCCCAACTTCCCATGCAGGGATGTGAGAGAAGCCTCCCACAGGATGTTAACACATCCGGGCATCCCCTGGGCAAGGTCCTTGCAGACAGCCAATTCTCTCACACCAGGACTGCCAACCGAAAGGTCGGCGGTTTGAATCCCGGGAGCAGAGTGAGCTCCCATCTGTCAGTCCCAGCTGCCCATGCGGGGACATGAGAGAAGCCTCCCACAGGATGGTAAAATATCCAGGCGTCCCCTGGGCAACGTCCTTGCAGACGGCCAATTCTCTCATACCAGAAGGATTGCTGACCAAAAAGTTGGCAGTTTGAATCCAGGGAGCGGGGTGAGTTCCCGTCTGTCAGCCCCAACTTCCCATGCAGGGATGTGGTAAAACATCTGGGTGTCCCCTGGGCAGCATCCTTGCAGACTGCCAATTCTCTTACACCAGAAGGACTGCCAGCTAAAAGGTTGGCAGTTTGGATCTGGGGAGCAGGGTGAGCTCCCATCTGTCAGCCCCACCTTCCCATGTGGGGACATGAGAGAAGCCTCCCACAGGATTTGAATCCCGGGAGCAGAGTGAGCTCCCATCTGTCAGCCCCACCTTCCCATGTGGGGACATGAGAGAAGCCTCCCACAGGATGGTAACACATCCGGGCGTCCCCTAGGCAACGTCCTTGCAGACGGCCAATTCTCTCACACCAGAAGCGACTTGCAGTTGCTCAAGTCACTCCTAACACACACACACACAAACAAAAAAAACAAACGCATTTCTATTCATATTAAACCTATTATTGGAAATATAATTTTTATACTTACTGATTCAGCAGACTGTACAACAGATCCTAAAGGAGTGAGGATGAAAAGTGGGAAAGTGTTAGTAGGTAGAGTGGTCCCTCTCAACCCATGGCATTTAAGTATGAGCTCAAACCCCCAAGTCCCTATGCGGTAATCCACTCCGAGTCCCTCGGGGAGAAGGGCAGAATATAAATAAAGAGTTGTTGTTATTGTTATTATTATTATTATTAAGTATCATATAGACCCAGCATTGCTTGGGTGTCATAGGGGATATGCCTGTCTACTTTCGCCCTTCTCCAGCTTTGAGTGTAGTGGTGGCTCCTTCTTCTACCAAAAACATTTTAGACCTTTGGTACTACCAAAGACACTTTAGACATTTGGTACTACCAAAAACTCTTTAGACATTTAGTACTACCGAAAACATTTTAGACATTTGGTACTACCAAAAACTCTTTAGACATTTAGTACTACCGAAAACATTTTAGACATTTGGTACTACCAAAAACTCTTTAGACATTTGGTACTACCGAAAACACATTAGACATTTGGTACTACCAAAAACACTTTAGACATTTGGTATTACCGAAAACATTTTAGACATTTGGTACTACCAAAAACACTTTACACATTTGGTACTACTGAAAACACATTCGACATTTGGTACTACCAAAAAATCCTTTAGACATTTGGTACTACCGAAAACACTTTACACATTTGGTACTACCGAAAACACTTTACACATTTGGTACTACCGAAAACACTTTACACATTTGGTACTACCGAAAACGCTCTAGACATTTGGTACTACCGAAAGCACTTTTTCACTTGGTACTACCGAAAACACTTTACACATTTGGTACTACTGAAAACACATTCGACATTTGGTACTACCAAAAAATCCTTTAGACATTTGGTACTACCGAAAACACTTTACACATTTGGTACTACCGAAAACACTTTACACATTTGGTACTACCGAAAACGCTTTAGACATTTGGTACTACCGAAAGCACTTTTTCACTTGGTACTACCAAAAACACTTTAGACATTTGGTACTACCAAAAACTCTTTAGATATTTGGTACTACCGAAAACACTTTAGACATTTGGTACTACCGAAAACACTTTAGACATTTGGTACTACCGAAAACACATTAGACATTTGGTACTACCAAAAACACTTGAGACATTTGGTACTACCAAAAACACTTTAGACATTTGGTACTACTGAAAACACTTTAGACATTTGGTACTACCGAAAACACTTTAGAAATTTGGTACTACCGAAAACACTTTAGACATTTGGTACTACCGAAAACACTTCGAAAACACATTAGACATTTGGTACTAACGAAAACTCTTTAGACATTTGGTACTACCGAAAACACTTCGAAAACACATTAGACATTTGGTACTACCGAAAACTCTTTAGACATTTGGTACTACCGAAAACACTTTAGAAATTTGGTACTACCGAAAACACTTTAGACATTTGGTACTACCGAAAACACTTTAGACATTTGGTACTACCGAAAACACTTTAGACATTTGGTACTATCAAAAACACTTTAGACATTTGGTACTACCGAAAACGCATTAGACATTTGGTACTACCAAAAACACTAGACATTTGGTACTACCGAAAACTCTTTAGACATTTGGTACTACCGAAAACACTTTAGACTTTTACATTGATAGATTAAGAAAGAGAACTCTCAGGAGGAGAAACGCACCTTTGCTTCTTCTATAGAAGAGATTTGGAAGTTTATTGGCACGTTTGAGGTAGAAAAAGGAAGCGACGCACAGGATGAGGAAGAGGCTGATGACGAAGGTCCCAAAGATGAGAGAAGCAGCTACTTCTGGTCCCCCTGTGAAGACGGAGGAGGAGAGAGTGAGCAGAAGCCTTCAAAGCAAATGCCTTTCCTACCAGCGTCCTGGGAATTGGCCATGGAATGGTTATGTGAAAACAGACTACCGTATATACTCTAGTATAAGCCGACCCGAATATGATCTGAGGCAACTAATTTGACCACAAACAACTGGGAAAGCGTATTGACTCGAGTATAAGCCGAGGGTGGGAAATGCAGCAGCTACAGGTCAATTTCAAAATAAAAATAGATACCAATATAATGACATTAATTGAGGCATCCGGAGGTTAAATGTTTTGGAATATTTACATAAAACTGTAACTTAAGTTAAGACTGTCCAACTCTGATTAAACCATTCTTCTAACCTTCATCCATGTAAATGTGCTTACAGATCCTTCCAATAATAATAAATAGTAAAATAATGAATATAATTATAACAATAATAGAGTAAAATAAGAAATGAAATAATATAGAGTAAAATAAATAATAATAATAAAATAAAATAAATGCAATAAAAATAATAATAGAGTGAAATATAATAAATGTAATAGTAAAAAAGAGTAAAAGAATAAATGTAATAAAATAATAATATAGGAAAATAATAATGTAATAATAATAAATAGAGTAAAATAATAAATGTAATAATAAAATAGAGTAAAATAATAAATGCAATAAAATAATAATATAATAAAATAATAAAATAATAATGTAATAATAATAGAGTAAAATAATAAATGTAATAAAGTAATAATATAGTAAAATAATAATGTAATAATAATAAATAGAGTAAAATAATAAATGCAATAAAATAATAATATAGTAAAATAATAATGTAATAATAATAAAAAGAGTAAAATAATAATGTAATAATAATAAATAGAGTAAAAGAATAAATGTAATAAAATAATAATATAGTAAAATAATAATGTAATAATAATAAATAGAGTAAAATAATAAATGTAATAATAAATAGAGTAAAATAATAAATGTAATAATAAATAGAGTAAAAATGTAATAATAATAATAATAATAATAATAATAATAATAAACTTTATTTATACCCCACCACTATCTCCTCAAAGGGGACTTGGGGCGGCTAACATGAGGCCAAGCTCAGAATTACAGTACAAGAAAATAAAATAAATAATAACATCAAAATAAAATGCATAAAACAACAGAAAATGAAATAAACAGATGCAAAATAATGTGAAGAAATAAAATAAAAGCACGGTGGGTGGGTCAAAGAAATAGAGTAAAATAATAAATGTAACAATAATAATAGGGTAAAATAATAAATGTAATAATAATAAATAAAATAATAAATGTAATAATAATAATAATAGAGTAAAATAATAAATGTAATAATAATAAATAAAATAATATATGTAATAAAAATAAGAATAATAATAGAGTAAAATAATAAATGTAATAATAATAAATAAAATAATATATGCAATAAAAATAAGAATAATAATAGAGTAAAATAATAAATGTAATAATAATAAATAAAATAATATATGCAATAAAAATAAGAATAATAATAGAGTAAAATAATAAATGTAATAATAATAAATAAAATAATATATGCAATAAAAATAAGAATAATAATAGAGTAAAATAATAAATAACTTTGACTCGAGTATAAGCCGAGGGGGGCTTTTTCAGCCTGAAGAAAGGGCTATAAAACTTGGCTTACACTGCCCTATATATGGTAAATATTGGTATAAGGATACTCACCTACTCCAATTGTAACTGGGGTTATGGTACTAAAGTTTGTTTGGGAATTCATTCCTCTGGCAGCATCTAAAAATGAACCAGGGGCGGTTGGAGAAAAGGAGAAATACAGTTAAGAAGCAGCCGACCAAACTGTATAATTTTCGAATTAGAATCAAGCCTGGTTATCTATTTCTATTTATTTATTTATTTATTTGGGGTTCTTATACCCCGCCCTTCTCACCCCGAAGGGGACTCAGGGCGGCTTACAGGAGCAAGGCACAATTTGATGCCTGCGTCATAAACAATCATACACAAAATTACATAAAAATTACAACAATTCACAGATGACATGCATGCAATATAACCATAAAATCAATAAAAACATTAAAACCAAATACAAACCCAGTTTTTCCTCTTACATGGTCAGTGTTTGTTAACACCTAGATCTAGATTTTCGTTCCATTCATCCATCCTGCTGGTCTTACTTGCCTGATTGACTGATTTAATTGCCAGAGTGCCCAAAGGCCTGGTCCCATAACCAAGTTTTCACCCTCCTCCTGAAGGCGAGGAGGGATGATGATGCCCTAATCTCCCCCGGGAGTGAGTTCCACAGGCGGGGGGCCACCACCGAGAAAGCCCTGCCCCTCGTCCCCACCAGCCTCACTTGTGATAGTGGTGGGATCGAGAGCAGGGCCTCCCCGGATGATCTCAGACTCCGGGGTGGGACATATCACTAATTTCCTTCATTATATCTTTGCTTAATGCCACATGGTGCAACGGGGCTGGATAAACATATCATCATACACCCTGGTGGTGCAGTGGGTTGGTGCAGTGGGTTCGAATCTGGGGAGTGGGGGGAGCTCCCGCTGTTAGCCCCAGCTCCTGCCAACCTAGCAGTTCGAAAACATGCAAATGTGAGTAGATTGATAGGTACCGCTTCTGTGGGAAATTAACGGCACTCCATGCAGTCATGGCCACATGGCCTTGGAGGTGTCTATGGACAACGCTCTTTGGCTTAGAAAGGGAGTAAAATAATGGAAGGAAGGGAGGAAGAAAGCAAGGAGAAAGAGGGAGGGAAGGAAGGAAAGGAGAAGAAAAGAAGGAAGGAAGGAAGAAGGAAGGAAAAGAGAAGAGGGAAGGAGGGAGGAAAGAGGAAGAAAGGAAGGAAGGAGAAAGAGGAGAGGGAAGGAAGAAGGAAAGAGGGAAGGAAGGATGGAAGGCAAAGGGTGGAACGGAAGTATGGATGGATGGATGGATGGATGGATGGATGGGAGGGAGGGAGGGAGGGAGGAAGGAAGGAAGGAGGAAGAGTCAGGGAAGGAGGGAGAAAAGAGGGAAGGGAGGAAGGAACAAAGGGAAGGAAGGAAGGAAGGAAGGAAGGAGAAAGAGGGAGGGAGGGAAGGAAGGACGAATGGGAAGGAAGGAGGAAGGAAGGAAGGAAGGAAGGAAGGAAGGAAGGAAGGAAGGAGAAAGAGGGAGATAAAGGATGGAAAAGGAGGAAGAAGGGAAGAAAATAATAATATAGGAAAATAATAATGTAATAATAATAAATAGAGTAAAATAATAAATGTAATAATAAAATAGAGTAAAATAATAAATGCAATAAAATAATAATATAATAAAATAATAAAATAATAATGTAATAATAATAGAGTAAAATAATAAATGTAATAAAGTAATAATATAGTAAAATAATAATGTAATAATAATAAATAGAGTCCCAGAGTCGGACTCGACTTAACGTCCCGGGGAAACGTTGACCTTTAGCTATCTTTGCTTAATGCCGGGGTTGGATAATATATCATCAAGCACCCCGAAAACTACCGCGTTGCATTAACCGTTTTACATACATATTTTACATATTGATAGTACATATTTTTAGGACTAAAGGGAGGCTAAACAAGCAAGTCCTTTGAACGACATACAACATTTTCAAACAGCGAATGCACTCCACTTCAGATGTACGCGGCTTCAAAACCCTTCAGAGGTAAATGGATTAGAAGTATCTGCAAATGAATACGTAATCCTGGAAAACCAGCCTGTAAAGTAATCCGGTATTATGATCCCCTCATGCTTTCAAAACAGAGGAATGGGGGGAAGAGGGAAGGAAGACGAGACTTTCTCGCTCAAGATTATTTAGATTGCTATTATTTAGAGCTGTCTTCATAGACCTATCAGCAGCTTATGATACCGTAAACCACCGCCTCCTCCTGAGAAAAATGTATAATATCACAAAGGACAACCACCTCACCCGCCTCATAGGAAACCTGCTACAAAACAGGAGCTTTTTTGTTGAGTTCCAGGTGATGGAAACAGAAGAACAGCCTGCCTCAGGGGAGCGTGCTTGCTCCACCAATGTTTAACATTTACACAAATGGTCAGCCACTGCCAGAAGGGACAGAGAGCTTCATCTATGCTGATGATCATGCCATCAGTGCTAAAGCAGGGAGCTTTGAAATGGCTGAACAGAAGCTTTAGGTGCTCTTATCGCCTATTGCACCATGAGCCAATCTTAAGAAATGAGTAAAAAGAACAGATATTACAACTGTATCACAACTCCCATCAGCTCTAATCATGGTGTCCAATGACGAGGAATACAGGAATGGTAGTCTAGCATCTGGAAGGTCACATATAATGATTTGAGTATGACATAAGTGCTCTCGACCAGGAACCTACTGTTTCGGCAGTCCGTGAGGTTGTCAACGGGTGTTGCGGCGATAGTTTCATTCTCACATTTAATGCAGCTGCTGCTGCCATCTTCGTTCCACCGCCGGTAACAGCCTGTGAAATAGAAGTGGAAAAGAGAGAAGTTCCATCATCACCCGATAACAACAACAACGACAACACAGAGACAAAGGCTTCTCCTTTCATTTCTGGCTATGGAGGCAGTGCTCAATTCCAGTTCTGGGGAAGGTGTTCATCTCCATTTCCAAGTTGAGGAGCCGGCGTTGTCCGTAGACACCTCCTGGTGGTGTGGCAGGCATGACTGCATGGAGCGACTTTTTGCCTTTCCTGACAAAGCAGTATCTATTAATCTACTCAACTTTGCATGTTTTCAAACTGCTAGGTTGGCAGGAACGAGGGCAAACACCCTGTCCCGTGGATTCAAACTGCCAACCTTCATGTCAGCAGCACAAGAGTTTAACACATTGTGCCACCACGGCCCCAAAGCCTCAAAGGGATGCCAGAGTGGCAAAAGAGGAGTGTCCTCTCTGCACACAATGCATGCCCAGGGTACAAGGCATGCCAAGAAGGGGCAGCTCTGGAGAAGGCCCTGTCTTGCATTCCCACTTGGAAAGATAGTAGGAGAGAGAGAAAAGCCTTTCCTGGTCTGCTAGAAAGTGGGATGGGAGTTATAGTCCAACAGTACTTCCTTTTTGAAAACCCAAATTGGCAACCCTCCTCCCTCGGGACAGGAAGGAAGGAAGAAAGGAAGATGGATACAAGGAAAGAGGGAAGGAAGGAAGGAAAGAAGGGAAGACCAAAGCGTGGAACGGAAGGATGGATGGATGGAAAGGAAGGGAAGGAAGGAAGGATGGAAGGAAGGAAGGAGAAAGAGGCAGGGAAGGAGGGAAAAAAGAGGGAAGGAAGGACCAAAAGGGAAGGAAGGAAGCAAGGAAGGACCAAAGGGAAGGAAGAAAGGAAGCAAGGAAAAAGAGGGAGGGAAGGAAGGACTAATGGGAAGGAAGGAAGGGGAAAGAGAAAGAGGGAAGGAGCGAGGAAAGAGGGAAGGAAGGAAGGAAGGAAGGAGAAAGAGGGAGAGAGAAGGGGGAGGAAAGAGGGAAGGATGGATGGAAGGACCAAAGGGTGGAATGGAAGTATGGGTGGATGGAAGGGGGGGGGGGAGGGATGGAAGGAAGGAGAAAGAGGCAGGGAGGAGGAGAAGAGGGAAGGAAAAGAAGGAAAAGGGAAGGAAGGAAGAAGGAAGGAAGAAAGAAGGAAGGAAGGAGAAAGAGGGAGGGAAGGAAGAGGAAGGAAGGGAAAGGAAAGGAAGGAAGGAGGAAGAAGAAAGGAAGGAGAAAGGAGAGGAGGGAAGGAAGAAGGAGGAAGAAGGAAGGAGGGAAGGAAGGAAGGAAGGAGAAAGAGGAGGGAAGGAGGGAGAAAGAGGGAAGGAAGGAAGGACGAAAGGGTAGAAGGAGGGGGGAGAGGGAGGAGGGAGAGGAAGGAAGGGAGAAGGGAAGGAGAAAGGGAGGGAGGAGGGAGAAAAGAGGGAGGGAAAGAATGACCAAAGGGAAGGAAGCAAGAAAGGGAGAAGAGAGAGGGAAGGACCAAAAGGAAGGAAGGAAAGAGAAAGAGGGAAGGAAGGAGAAAAAGAGAGGGAGGGAGGAAAGAGGGAAGGAAGGACCAAAGGGTGGAAGGGAAGTATGGAAGGAAGAAGGGAAGGGGGAGGAAAGAGGAAAGGAAGAGGGATTGAAGGAGGGAAGGAGAAAGAGGGAGATAAGGGAAGGAGGGAAGGAGGAAGGAAAGAGAGAAGGAAGGAAGGACAGGATATTGAGGGCCTGAGAAAAGAGCTTGGCTTTGCCCATACCTGCTCCCGAGCCTTGAGCCAAAGAGAGGGATCAATGTGTCCATAGGACACATGATGCGCGAGGCACCAAGTGGGAAACAGAAGCGGGGCATTCGATTCCCCTTGGTGACAAATTGCATCTGACGTTTAATCTAAACACACAAACAGCCTGACTGGGGGGGGGGGGGGGGGGGGGCACCGCTTTTCGACAGTATTTAAATATAATGAAGAGGTAGAACAAAACAAAGCCTTTCATAATAATAAATATATATATATATAAAACCCTGGCACCGAAGATTAATTTTTCAATACAGTTAAAAGGTTAACACCCAGCGCTCATTGGCAAGGCTTTCCCCCCTCCTGGCTCCCTTTAGATTGCTTTGAACAAAAAGGCACATTAGTTTTATTAGTGGTGGTAATGGCACGGGGGAAAGTGGCGTGGGGGGAGCCCCCGATTAGCCTTTCATCGTTTTTTGAAAAGGCAAGTCATTTCCCAATTTGAATGTTCTAACACAGTCTGCACTGTGTGCGCAGGACAGGCGTGGGCTGTTGCGAGATTGATTTTTGTCATCTCGGAGTTGTTGTTGCTGGGATGTATTTATTTATTTATGTATTATTTACTTCGCTTATATACCGCAATTCTCAGCCCAGGGGCGACTCACTGCGGTGTACAACATAGCAAAAAACAAGGTGCAAAATATAAGACACAATATAAAATAATCCACAATTCAACATTATCAGAAAACATCCTCATCAAAAACATCATCATTACTACAAAAGCCATTCCGTGTGGTCTCATCGCCAAAACCACAATCCAGTATCAATTTCCGTTGTTCATTCCTATGGTCAATTACCAATCATTGCACTTCTTGTTCAAATGCCTTCTTAAACAGCCAGGTCTTTAACTTCCTGCGGAATATCAACAGGGAGGGAGCTAGCCTGATGTCCACGGGAAGGGTGTTCCACAACCGAGGAGCCACCACCGAGAAGGCCCTATCTCTCGTCCACGCCAGCTGTGCTTGAGAAGCAGGTGGGATCGAGAGCAGGGCCTCCCCGGAACATCTCAAAGTTCTGGTGGGTTCATAGGCAGAGATGCGGTCGGATAGGTAGCTTGGGCCAGAACCGTTTAGGGCTTTAAAGGCCAACGCCAGCACTTTGAATTGAGCCCGGTAGCAAATCGGCAGCCAGTGGAGCTGGTGCAGCAGAGGAGTTGTATGCTCCCTGCGCTCCGCTCCTGTTAGTATCATGGCTGCCGAACGTTGGACTAATTGGAGCTTCCGAGCCGTCTTCAAAGGCAACCCCACGTAGAGAGCGTTGCAGTAGTCTAAACGGGATGTAACCAGAGCATGGTACGTTCTGGGATTTATAGTTCAACTACAATCAAAGAGCATTCGAACTCCACCAACGATGGAATTGAACCAAACTTGGCACACAGAACTCCCATGACCAACAGAAAAAACTGGAAGGGTTTGGTGGGCATTGACCTTGAGTTTGGGAGTTGTAGTTCACCTACATCCAGAGAGCACTGTGGACTCAAACAATGATGGATCTGGACCAAACTTGGCACAAATACTCAATATGCCAAATTGGGAACACTGGTGGAGTGTGAGGGTGAGGAAAAGAAAGAAAAAGAAGGGCAAGGAGAAGGGAAGGAGGAGGATGGGGAAGGAAAGAAAAAGAAGGGAAAGGAGAAGGGGGAGAAAGAAAGAAAAAGGAAAGAAGGGTGGAAGGAAGGGCAGGGGAAAGAAAGAAAAAGAAGGGAAAGGAGAAGGGAGGAAGGGAGGGTGAGGGGAAGAAAAAAAGAAGGGAAAGGAGAAGAAGAAGAGTGGGGAAGGAAAGAAAAAGAAGGGAAAGGAGAAGGGTGGGTGGGGAAAGAAAGGAAAAAAGGGAAGAAGGGTGGAAGGAAGGGCAAGGAAAAGAAAGAAAAAGAAGAGAAAGGAGAAGGGAGGAAGGGAGGGTGGAGGAAAGAGAAAAAGAAGGGAAGGAAGATGGAAGGAAGGGCAGGGGAAAGAAAGAAAAAAGAAGAGAAAGGAGAAGAGAGGAAGGGAGGGTGAGGGAAGAGAAAGAAAGAAGGGAAAGGAGAAGGGGAAAAGGAAGGATGGGGAAAGAAAGAAAAAGAAGGGAAAGGAGAAGAGAGGGTGGGGAAAGGAAAAAAAGGAAAAGAAGGGAGGAAGGGCTGGGGGGGGGGGGGGGAGGAAAAAAGGGAAAAGGTGGGAAGGGAGAAAGGGAGGGAGAAAGAAAGAAAAAGAAGGGGAAAGAGAAGGGAGAAAGGAGGGGGGGAAGAAAGAAAAAGAAGAGAAATGAGAAGGAATGGGGTAGGAAAAGAAAGAAATAAGGGAAAGAAGGGAGGAAGGGTGGGAGGAAGAAAGAAAAAGAAGAGAAAGGAGGAGGAAGGGAAAAGAAAGAAAAAGAAGGGAAAGGAGAAAGGAGCGAGGGTGGGGGAAAGAAAAAAAGAAGGGAAAGAAAAAAAGAAGGGAGGAAGGAAAGGCAGGGGGGGAAGGGGAGGAAAAAGAAGGGAAAGGAGAAGGGAAGAAGGGAGGACAGGGGAAAGAAAGAAAAAGAAGGGAAAGAAGGAAGACAGGCCTACCTGGACTGCATTGGTTGCTGGCAAGACAGGTGGTATTGGCCTCCATCGCGTCCATGCAGCATTCTAGCTCAGATTCCTACAGAAGTGGGAGGAAGACTACAGTCAAAGAAGATAATGATCAGAGTAATAAAAATGCAAGTGAACCCTTGTATCCATGGATTCAACTATCCATGGTTGGAAAATATTTTCTAAAATCCAAAACAGACCTTGATTCCGCCATTTTAAATAATGGATTCCATCTTATTACACCACGGTATATAATGAAATTGGAGAACCAATTTCTGTTACAACATCTGTTATAGAACTCCAATATGCTGATGATAATGTAGTCTGTGCGCATTCAGAAGAAGACCTCCACGCCACTCTAGGGAATATTACAGCCCAAAGCTCCATACTTCTTTCTCTCATGGACTACAGCATATATATATGTATATGTGTGTGTATATATTTGTGTATATGTGTATATATGTGATTTTGTGCAGGTGTTGAGCTCTGGAAGTGCGGCATTCTTCTGAATGAAGCAGAGAGTGTTTGAGGATGGGGCCCAGTCTGTGTATGTGTTTTGTGTGTGTGTTGAGTGCTTCTTTATAAAGGTACTGCCCTTGCAATCCTGTCCTACGTCTGCAAAACTTGGACTGTCTATAGATGTCACACTCAACTCTTGGCACGAATGGAGGGTGTGTGCTGAGCTCTGCGACTGCAGCATTCTTCCGAATGAAGCAGAGTGTTTGAGGATGGGGACATCGGTAGGAAGACCAAGGTGCTTGTTTATAAAGGTACTGCCCTCCCAATCCTGTTCTATGTCTGCAAAAAATGGACTGTCTATAGATGTCACACTCAACTCCTGGCACGAATGGAGGGCATGTGTTGAGCTCTACGGGTGCAGCATTCTTCCGAATGAAGCAGAGAGTGATTGAGGATGGGGACATCTGTAGGGAGACCAAGGTGCTTCTTGATAAAGGTACTGCCCTCGCAATCCTGTTCTACGTCTGCAAAACTTGGACTGTCTATAGATGTCACACTCAACTCTTGGCACGAATGGAGGGTGTGTGTTGAGCTCTGCGACTGCAGCATTCTTCCAAATGAAGTAGAGATTGTTTGAGGATGGGAACATCTGTAGGGGGACCAAGGTGCTTCTTTATAAAGGTACTGCCCTCGCAATCCTGTTCTACGTCTGCAAAACATGGACTGTCTATAGATGTCACACTCAACTTCTGGCACGAATGGAGGGCGTGTGTTGAGTTCTGTGAGTGCAGCATTCTTCTGAATGAAGCAGAGTGTGTTTGAGGATGGGAACATCTGTAGGAAGACCAAGGTGCTTGTTTATAAAGGTACTACCCTCCCAACCCTGTTTTATGCCTGCAAAACATGATCTGTCTATAGATGTCACACTCAACTCCTGGCACGAATGTTGCAAAAGGAAGAAACGTGGCAAGAGAAAAAAGGTGCATGAAGCCAATCCTGACTGGGACCACCTTCCACCTGGAAACTGATGCCCTCACTGTGAGGTTGAACATGACCCCCCCCCCCCAATAAAAGATAGTAACTTATAGTTTTGCTAAGGACAAGGACATCAGACTGGATAATAAGGTTAAGCCTTGGTCAATTGGCCAAGACACTAACAACAACAAGGGCCCTTCCATGTCAAATAGTGTGTACATTTAATCAAGGTTTTATGCCCTATGTTTCATATATAGCAGAAGGTAACACATTTATTGCTGAGAARCCACYTCCCTTTACACTTATGTACTGTCTTGAACTTTTATGGGACCTTTCTCCCTTCTGAAGGACTCTTAGAAACTTTTTGGAAACTTTACCTTTTCAAGCCCCATGAACCTCTCCCCAGCCCCATGGGCTCTCAAAATGGCTTTATGAATTCCCAATGGACTTTGGTGGGTGATGGAAGTGGAGATGGGCTCTTTCTCTTTATATGAATGTACCCTTTGATTCCCTCCGATGCCTCCCCTTCCCATCCTATATAATATATAAAATATGATATGCCACTCTCTGTGACCCCAGGAAGGGAGGTAATCTCCTGATTGAAAAGAACCTTGAGAAAGGACACTTTTCCATGGACAATACAATGGGCACCAATCTCGGGTCTCAGAATCTGGCCGCTCGAGGGGATGTGCCCACTTGGCATAGATAGTCATATCTCATCAGGACAAAGGGCCTTCGGAAAGCCACAATTTGTCCTGATCTGGTTACTCAGTTAAGCTTCTCTCAACCGAAACTGCAAACTAGATATTGTCCCCATATCCCGGCTCAAGAAAAATCCAGATTCTGGCCATCTCGCCAGACCTCAATGTTGATTACCATCCCTCATCGCAATAAGCTGGAAGGCCCCTGAGGACTCGCCGGCCACATGGACATCACATATTTCCATAATCCACTCAAGTTCTCATTGTTTCCCTCTCATCCCGCCTCCCTCTCTCCTGATTGGACAGGAGGCCGAAGCGGCGTGAGCTCACCCATTGGCTAAGGTGCTCAGGAGGCGGCCAAGCCTCCTCCCAGCTGTAGAACGCCGACCAATCAGCGCCAAGCCAGCTGAGGGGCGGGGAGTGGGAAATTCAAATCTGACAACTCTGTATATGTATAAAAAGGCTATATTTTGTATTCAATGTATGTCTGCTTGACAAATGATCGCGGTAGGACATCCTTTCCAGCTGGATCGCAATAAACAACTCGGTGGCTTTTCTTCAACTTGGTGAGACCTTTTATTGGGAAAAAATAGGGGAAAATATTGGGTGCTTATTTCTGTCTCGCCAGGGCAACAAACTCTTTGATGGGTCTGATTGGTCTCTGCATCCTGGCAAAGACCCCTACATTCTTACTCGATATCAACTGTGGAAGAACATTGTGGGTCAAGAAAAGACCTATGTATCCACCGCCAAGACACGACACTTGGAAGGCCATCATACTCGGACAACGAGGGATGGCCTAAGGATCGCCTAAGGCAAGGCTATCCAATTCTCTGTTGAATGTACAGGAGTGCATCAACTTTGTAGGTGGCATGCCTGTGTGTGTTTTCGTAATAGACAACAGGAAATGGAGCCTGTGCTGCTAGGGATATAATGCTCTTACAGGGGAGTGAATTCACTTCAGTGAAAGATGAAGGAAGTGCCTTCTAAAATTAGAGCGCAGGCTTCTGGCTCAGGGAATTCTTGTCATCGTACAAATGCGAGGAACCGTCCCTGATCCTTGGGAGGCTCTAAATCAAGATAAATATGATGAGTCACCCACAACAACCAGGTAAAGGAGATTAAAAGCACACTTGGGGGGGAAAGTATATCACTCAGCCTTGATCGGCTTTGTAAATCAAACTCGTAACGATCGGGACAGGTTTCATCCATCTGATGGAAAGAGAGACTCCGCCGAAAAAGCACAGAATAGATTACTTCATGTCGAGCGTCCTTCTGTGGGTGAAGAAGACTCCCCACTTTTACCGTTTTATATATAACTAACTAGCTGTCCCCTGCCACGCATTGCTGTGGCCCACTCTAGTGGTCATAGGGGTTCTGTGGGAGGTTTGGCCCAATTCTATCGTTGGTGGGGTTCAGAATGCTCTGTGATTGTAGGTGAACTACAAATTCCAGCAACTACAACTCCCAAATGTCAAGATTCTATTTTCCCCAAACTCCACCAGTGTTCACATTTGGGCAAATTGAATATTCTTGTAGAGTTTGATCCAGATCCATCATTGTTTGAGTCCACAGTGATCTCTGGATGTAGGTGAACTACAACTCCAAAAATCAAGATCAATGCCCACCAAATCATTCCAGTATTTACTGTTGGTCATGGGAGTTCTATGTGTCAGGTTTGGTTCAGTTTGGTTTGTGTTCAAGGGGACTTTAAAAACACCTGTCTCCTGGCTGTTGCTTACTACATCTGCCTGCCACCTCAGGAGGAGGAAGGAGGAAATCCTGCTGCTACTCTCCCCCTGCCCAAGCCAGCTAAGAGGAGGAAGGGGACTGAGGAAGAGTCTTTAAAAACACCTGTCTCCTGGCTGTTGCTTACTACATCTGCCTGCCACCTCAGGAGGAGAAGGAGGAAATCCTGCTGCTTCTCCGCCCCCAAGCCAGCTAAGAGGAGGAAGGGGACTGAGGAAGAGTCTTTAAAAACACCTGTCTCCTGGCTGTTGCTTACTACATCGGCCTGCCACCTCAGGAGGAGAAGGAGGAACTCTTCCCGCTTCTCTCCCCCCCCCAAGCCAGCTAAGAGGAGAAAGGGGACTGAGGAAGAGTCTTTAAAAACACCTGTCTCCTGACTGTTGCTTACTACATCTGCCTGCCACCTCAGGAGGAGAAGGAGGAAATCCTGCTGCTTCTCTTCCCCCCACCCCCAAGCCAGCTAAGAGGAGAAAGGGGACTGAGGAAGAGTCTTTAAAAACACCTGTCTCCTGGCTGTTGCTTACTACATCTGCCTGCCACCTCAGGAGGAGAAGGAGGAAATCCTGCTGCTTCTCTCCCCCCCCCCAAGCCAGCTAAGAGGAGAAAGGGGACTGAGGAAGAGACTTTAAAAACACCTGTCTCCTGGCTGTTGCTTACTACATCTGCCTGCCACCTCAGGAGGAGAAGGAGGAAATCCTGCTGCTTCTCCCCCGCCCCAAGCCAGCTAAGAGGAGAAAGGGGACTGAGGAAGAGACTTTAAAAACACCTGTCTCCTGGCTGTTGCTTACTACATCTGCCTGCCACCTCAGGAGGAGAAGGAGGAAATCCTGCTGCTACTCTCCCCCTCCCAAGCCAGCTAAGAGGAGAAAGGGGACTGAGGAAGAGACTTTAAAAACACCTGTCTCCTGGCTGTTGCTTACTACATCTGCCTGCCACCTCAGGAAGAGAAGGAGGAAATCCTGCTGCTACTCTCCCCCTCCCAAGCCAGCTAAGAGGAGGAAGGGGACTGAGGAAGAGACTTTAAAAACACCTGTCTCCTGGCTGTTGCTTACTACATCTGCCTGCCACCTCAGGAGGAGAAGGAGGAAATCCTGCTGCTACTCCCCCTCCCAAGCCAGCTAAGAGGAGGAAGGGGACTGAGGAAGAGACTTTAAAAACACCTGTCTCCTGGCTGTTGCTTACTACATCTGCCTGCCACCTCAGGAGG